ACAGGCTTGGGTTCTCTCCTTCCACCACATGCTTCTGGGGATGAAGCCCAGGTTGCTAGGCATGGCAGCAAGCACATCATGAGAAGAAGCTTCAGAGTACGGGTCCATTTGTAAAGCCTTGCGTCCTTGCTGTGTTGTCAATTCTCAGTCTTCTGATCTTCAGCACTTGCGATTGGGAGAAAGATGGGTGATGCTTTTTGGTTTCCTTTGGAGTTAGGAAGCATCGAGTCTGGTGTTTTTATTTTTCTGTTTTTGCTCCTTTGATGTTTAGTCTAATGCCTGTGTCATACTGTCATTGCCTGCCTGAGTCACACTGTCCTTGCCCTGTAACCCCGGATCATTTCAGGACTTAAAAAGCAGGCAAATTATAAATACTTAGCAACTGAACAAGGAACATACAAAAATGATTAAAGAAACCATCAATAAAGGGCAGGCCACTTTGCCTTACCTCCACCTCACTATGACTTTTTGGCTGGCTAGAATTAACTAGACTCTAGATATAAGATGATGAGCCTCTTGCTTTCACCCTAATTATTAAGTTATAAATCCATTTTCCTTGCTGTGAGTTCCTAAGGGAAAGGCTGTTCTAATTATCCCTGCATCTAAATCATGGGGACAGCAAGCGATTAGAATCTTGTTGAGGAATGAACCAGAGAAAAAATATTAGTCATAAAAACTTGCCATTAGAAATACAGGTTAGAGGGTATGCCTGAGCACTCCGGAGGTCTGTTCTGTTGCTGGTACAGGTCGAATCTTCAACAGTAGATGAGTGCCATTAAGCAGGTGGGACTGGGGCATGAAGGCTCAGCCACCATTAGTTTGGCACTGTCAAGTTCAGAAATGCTCAGTGGGAAAAGAGTTTGATGACTTGTATTGTGTAAAGCAAAGAATAAAGAAAGACAAGAAGGAGGAGAAGGGGAGGAAGAGGAGGGAGAGAGAAAAGGAAGAGGAGGAGAAGGAAAAGAAAGAGGAGGAGAAAGAGGAGGCAGAGAAGAGGAGGAAGAGGAGGAGGGAAGGAGGAGAAGAGGAGGAGGAGTTCCCTGGAGAAGGGTTAAAACAATAAGGATGCCTGCTATCTATGAACTCATGCCCAACCTCAGAATCCAAACCATGTAATTGTCTGGGATGTGACCACTTTGTCACCCTGCCCTCTGTGGCTCAATTAATGTGACAACAAACAGGAGCAGAAAGCTTGATTTTAATTCACTTAGAAACACATAGCCATGCAGTGAGTGCCATAAGAAATCCTGTGGGCAGCAGGCAATGGGAAGATTCCCAAAGGTCACAGTCAGGGGTCCACATGGTGAGTGGTTGGGAGGTCTTCAGCTTAGTTCATAGTAGTAGTGTTTGGGTAATGTTTAAAGTACCTGGCCCCTCTCTTGAGTCAATGGTGGGAGAATGTCTAAATGATGTTTTCTATTTTCGTTTGGCTTGTACTTTAAGACAGGGTCTCCCTATGTAGTTCAGACTGGACTACAACCTAAGATCCTTCTGACTGGCCTCTTGAGTGCAGGCATGCACTACTGTACTTGAGTCTAAAAAATGTTATGTCTCAGGGCTGGAGCGATGGCTCAGCAGTTAAGAGCACTGGTTAATCGTACAGAGGATCTGGGTTCAGTTCCCAGCATTTACACAGCAGCTCACAACCATCTGTAAGTCAGGTTCCACCGGCTTTTGGCTTTTGTGCACCTTGCATGTCCACATGCATAAGGTACACAGACATACACGCTGGCAAAACACCCCACAAACAAAAATCTTTGAAAAAATATGTCTCTTGAAAATCAAATGCAGAGCTTACCAGCTCCATTGGGGGATATTTCTGAGTAGATATTGCTAATATGCAGGGAGTTTGCTAAGTGTTTTATGGCTGGGGCTGCCATTTGCTGGAGGAGGACATAGGATTCACAGAGCAAAAGTGAAATAGAGAAGGAACTGTAGAGGGAAAGCTGGAGGCTCCTGCCTGTTGTGCCTGCCACGGGGGCCTCTGTTTTTTTGGTTTTTGTTTTTATTGATTCAGAAGAAGCATACTTCCTCATGGTGCTCGGCGCTTACAACACTGGAAAGTTGGAACATAGGCTCCCATTGACCAGGACTAGCAGAAAGGATAAGGGATGCCTCTCACTTCCTCTAGGGAGCTGGTATGCCTTGCTGGGCACTCACTGAAAGTCTCAGGTAATTTCAAGTTCTCATTGTCTCCTTGCCCCAGAGTCATTAGCAGACAGAATGAGCAGGGAGTGAGGACTCTCCCACTTTCAATGGGTATTTGCTAGTAGCCTGGGGTATTCTGGGTTCCCTGTTGGTGGCAAAAAAAAAAAAAAAAAAGAGGTGTGTCTGGACACAGAGTAGCTACCTTTAGCTCTAGCACTTGAGAGGCTGAATCTGTCAGTTCAAGTCCAGGTTGGTCCACATAGCAAGTTCCAGATCAGCTAGTGAAAAAAGTCAGAGAGATGGCAGACACAGGACTCCTTAGATAATAGCTTGGGTGTGAATAGCTATTAATGGAAAGTCCCTGAAGAGGCCACACTATGTGAAGACCTGAGGGAAGACATGCTGGCTCAGAGAAGGGAGAGATTTATGTAAAGAGAGAAAGAAATGGCACTTAAGATATCCTAAGTAGCAGAAATACTCAGAAAAAAAATGAAGGTTTTGTAAACCTGCTTTCCCTTTATTTTCAACACTTAAAATGTCCCACTTTTACTTAACTTTGCCTCACTAAAGCAATCAGCCTGTCATGTTTAACCAAGAACCTATCCTATTCCATTGTCCTGGGGTCTAAAATTCCCTGTCTTAAGCCTGGAACAATTTATTTATTAAGATCTCTCTGTGTGTGTGTGTGTGTGTCTGTGTGTCTGTGTCTCTGTGTCTCTGTCTCTCTCTCTGTGTGTCTCTGTCTCTGTCTGTCTCTCTCTCTCTCTCTCTCTCTCTCTCT